CTTCATAATGATGTGGAAAAAAATCATCCGCCTTTTAGCAATATATACCTTCTGATACAAAAAAAAAAGATTAATCGATCTTTTTTTGAAATTTGGTTAGTGTTTTATTCCGACTACCTCTTTCTTTTAATTAATATTTTGAAAAAAAATCACTACTAAATTTAATACAGGGAAATCATTGGCCTGATTACTTTTAAATGAACCAATGTTCTCCATGCATCAAATTTTAATTCATTTAATTGACCTAATTTTAATTGATAATCTAAATTTAAGTGATGTTTGGCTGATGGACGCGATGGAAGCCTTGTTCCACACACTAAAAATCGAAAATTCAGCTCTTTTATTAGGAAAACCAATACTCACACAATTCTTGCACTTGTTTCAGTGGTAAATTAGTACTGGTGCATGCCAAGGAACTGAGTTTTTGCTGCTGATAGATGTTACCTCTTACGTCAATTTTTTGGAAACATTTGCTTCTCAAAAAAGTGAACTGCACGGGGATTTTTATCAATTCTTACTCACATTTAATTAGTACTCAATTCTGTCACATATTTTATTCTATTAATAATTTTTCTACTTTATATTTCAGTTTCAGTGAATGATGCCCGTGAAAATAAAGCTCAGATTGCATATATGTAACAGGCCGTGGGTACTAACTGGAGGCATGCTGCCAGGATCCACTGATTTCCGAACGATCTTCATTTTCCTGACATAATTTCAGTTTCATTTCATATGAAAGTGGTGGAAATAAAAAAGTAACACAAACCTGAACAATTTTACGACAAGCAATCGGTTCATTACCAGCATAAGTGCCTTCCTGCAATAATGGGCAGAGTTTGATATACTGCCTTAGATCCTTGGGATCATTGGAATCACAATTTGCATCTTCAGCCGAATTACACTGATAGCATCGCATCGGCCGCTCCCTAAACGAAAAAACAGCTTGCTTTCTCAGCCAACGAATCAATGTTTTAACTTCATTCTAACAAAAAAACTATGCAAAATTTTTTCGATTTTTTTTGATACCATAAAATAGCGATACACAGGAAAAGCTGTGTTTCCTTACAAAATTCATTTTACCGAAAAGCGCCGCTTAAAGAAAAATTTGCCGAACAAATCAAAATTTACCACTTCAGTGAAAACCTGCCAAGCGAATTAATTAAAATCCTAGAAAGCTAAAACCGGCATCTACTGTATTCCATACTTTAGGACAGTGAACACTTTGCTAATAGCAAAATCTTTACGACAAGGCTATCGATGGGCGTGAAGCACCGAGCAGATTCGTTGGGCGGCCATTGCCTGCAATCCAGCGTCTCAAGAGCTAGCTTAGAGAACAAGCCGAAAGTTTGATAGATTAACAGGCAAGCTTGTTTCAGCTTGTCAAGTCAAAACTCTCTTCGTATTCGACCTCAATAGGGGATGGAGGCACTCAGTAAGTAGAGCGTGTGGCAGTTAATGCCTACAGCAACCATTCACTGGTAGGACTATCGATGGCTTCCTATTTTGCGAGTTGCTTAGAAATAGGCTGACAAGTTTGACTCTCCAGCATATGCTGGTACCAATTCACTACCAAAACAGCAAGAGACCGAAAAAAAGGTAGCTTTGAGTGGAAAACTTTCGGATCAACATTTTGGGTTTCAGCCTTTTCAATATTATCCTCAAATCCATTTGTTGCAGCTATTAGCAATGAAGCTTACGCGGTGATGAAAGTAATTAAACCGGCAGCAGCCATCAACACGTTCGTTATCATTACCCTCATTGTCACGGAATCCTGAAACCATGGCGCTGTTAAACGGACAAAACTAACTTCTCCAATTAGCGGACACAAAACGAAACCGTAAAATTCAGATGAATGACGCTCATAGGTTATAAATAATCTTGTTATAAAATCTGTTTTTCTGGAAATGCGGGCAGTGGTAGAACATTTGAGCGGAAAAAATCAAACATATTCGAAAAAATGATTCAAAATTTCTGCTCTTTTGAAAAGTTACATTTTGTTTCCGGACGTGGTGGAGTGGGAAGCAGTACTGTTGTCGTACAGTAAGTCGAGTTTTCAACTGTACAACCAATCTCTCTATGATTTATTCAATCCATTCAATGGTAAATTGGTACTGGCACGTGCCAGGGAGTCAAACCCGACATCAGCATGCTTGTATGCAACCCTCGAAAAAGCCAGCGATAGTCAGTACTGACAACAAGTGGTTGCTATTAGCATTTGTTGCCATCGAGTTACTTCTCACTGCTTCCGCCTCTTATGGGGGACTAGAGGACAAAAGTGGAAGTAATTTTTGACTTTGATAACTATTTCTGAAATTTGAATTCAGAACAGTAGTTTCAAGCAATTAATTGCTCATCAAACCCGCAAAAATATTATGCTCCAGTACGGGCAAAAACTGAGCTTCAGTCCTATTCTCCTGCTCTCTTTCCCTCTTTTGCATCCCTGAAAAAAAAAAAAATCCTGGCCATTCTACTAAGTTTAAGCACTAAAGCGCATTAAATATCCTATTATCCTTTACAACGAGCTGACCATCAAATGACCCTTACCGGACCAAATCAGAGAGGCAGCTGGCACGCTGTAAAACTGGGAGAATTTTCAGTGCTTTACTACACCTAGGTGCAACCTTCTATCCTTAATAACGAGCTGAAAATCTTGCAAGAGATTCAGATAGCTAACCAGTGTTCTCGACATTTTTCAAGGAATCAGTGGTTCGAAAAGGAATCAGAAAGCTCATTTTCACAAAATCAGGATTGGCATGTAAAAAGCCACATAATGTACTATTCAT